CTTAGAAGCACCCTGGCTTCTCAGACAGCGCGGGCCTTGTCTATAGATGTAGGGCCGGCGCCTTCTAAGACGTCGTTTCCTTATCAGAAGCCGCCCAACCCCTTGGTGCGCGCTGCCAGGGTCGGGGGAAGCCGGGCCTCGAAGACATCGAGGTGTTGGATGTCTGGGAAGTTGCTCGGGCCAGCGCCTTCTGAGATGAACCCTCCTTCTAAGGAGCCTTCCCCCCTTCCCTCGGGGATGGACAGACCTCCCTTTAGTAAAACGTGGTTTAGTGTTTAGTGAAAACGACCTGAGGCCCAAACCTGGCGGGCGCAAGCCTGGAAGATAGCGGCCGCGGCGCCCCCTCGTGAACCGAGAACGGACGATTCACCAATCGACGTGTCGCTGTTGGGGGTTCTGTCCACCCCCGCTTCCCCCCCTGCCCCCCTTCGTGCGCGCCGCAGAGAGGGGCCGCCAGGCGCCGGGCTGCTGGCTGCCGCGCGGGCACGGCCTGCCCATGGCTGCCCCGCCTTCGCGGCGGCGCGCGCGTCGCCCTTGGCGAGCAGGCCTCCGCGGCGGCCTGCTCCTCGGGCGGCGCCGCGCACCGACATGCCATCCTCGCCTCTCGACGAACGGAAGACACCACACCATGGCATCGCTCGGACGTGTGCATTTTTTCCTTGGCGAGGACCATCGAGGAGTACCTTTGATCATTGAGCGAAAAGTGCACGCACGAGATCGAAAGATGCACGGAGACTGGACGTCCGAGCGATGGCGAGACACCCTCGAAGAAGAGAGGATCCCGGCGGAGGACCCGGCCGCACGAGGATGCGAGTGCCGCAGGGCATGCAGGGCGAAAGGGGGCAGCTTCCTACGGGGCCACGAAATGCGTGAGGGGTGTGCCGAATCGGGTGCTGTGCCGCCGTGCGAACGCAGCCACTGGGGCCGCCGGTGGGGCTCCCTCTTGGGCCACGAAGCGTGTGAGGGGTGTGCCGACTTGGGCGCGGGTGCACCATGCGAGCGATGTCACTGGGGCCTTCGGCGGAGTTCCTTGCGGGGCCCCGAAACGTGTGAGGATTTTTTTTCGAATCGGTGGCGGGTGCGCCATGCGAACGCTGGCATTTGGGCTTCAGTTGGGTCCCATATGGGGCCACAAAGCATGTGTAGGGTGTGCCGAATCGGGGGCGGGTGCGCCACGCGAGCGCTGGCATTTGGGACGTAGTTGGGGCTCCCTATTTGATTGCGAAACATAAGGGGATCCCCCTATGGGGCCGCCGGTGGAGCTCCCTATGAGATCACGAAGCGTGTGAGGGGTGCGCCGAATCGGGGTCGGATACGCCATGCGAGCGCAGACACTGGGCCTTCGGTGGATTTCCCGATGGCGCAACGAAACGTGTGAGGGGTGTGCCAAGTCGGGCGCGCGTACGTCATGCGAGCGCAGCCGTTGGGGCCTTCGGTGGAGCTCCCGTGGGGGCCCACGAAAGGTGTGAGGCGCGTGCCGAATCATATGACCATGCAAACGCAGCCACTGGGGCAGCCGGTGGAGCTCCCCATGAGACCGCGAAGCGTGTGAGGGGGTGCGGGTACGTCATGCGAGCGCAGCCATTGGGGCCTTCGGTGGAGCTCCCTGTGGGGGCACGAAACGTCTGAGGGGTGTGCGGAATCAGATGCGGGTGCGCCATGCAAGCGCAGCCGCTGGAGCCTTCGGTGGAGCTCCGTATGAGACCACGAAGCGTGTGAGGGGTGCGTCGAATCGGGGTCGGGTACACCATGCGAGCGCAGCCACTGGGGCCTTCGGTGGATTTCCTGATGGCGCAACGAATCGTGTGAGGGGTGTGCCGAACTGAGTCCAGGTGCGCCACGCGAGCGTAGTCAATGGGGCCTTCGGTGGAGCTCCCTTTGGGGCCACGATGCGCGTGAGGAGCGTGCCGAATTGGGAGCGCGAGCGCTGCCACTGGAGCCTTAGGTGGAGCTCTATGGGGCCCCGAAGCGTGTGAGGGGTGTGCCGGATCGGGAGCGGGTGCGCCATGAGATTGCAACATGTCGGTGATTTCGGTTGAGCTCCCTCTGGGGCCACGAAGCGCGTGAGGGGTGTGCCGAGTCGGGCACGGGTACGCCATGCGAGCGTTTGCATTTGGGCCTTAGTTAGGGCGTCCTATGGGGCCACGAAGCGTTCATGGCGTGTGCCGGATCAAGTGCGGTGCCGCCATGCGAACGCTGGCGTTTGGGCTTTAGTTGGGGCTCCCTACGGGGCCACGAGACAGGTGAGGGGTGTGCCGAATCGGGCGCGGGTACGCCACGCCAGCTCAGCCACCAGGGCTGTCGGTGGTTCCCCCCCGGGGCCACGAAGCGCGTGAGATGTGTGCCGATTCGGGCGCGTGTGCGCCATGCGAGTGCAGCCACTGGAGCCTTGCGTGGAGTTCCCTCTTGGGCCACGCGTGTGAGTTGTGTGCCACATCGGGGGCGGGTACGCCATGAGAGCGCACCTTTTGGCGTTTTCGATTGGGCTCCCTCTGGCGCCACGAAGCGCGTGAGGGGTGAGCCGAGTCGGGCACGGGTACACCATGCGAGCGCAGCCACTGGGGCCTTCGGTGGAGCTCCCTGTGGGGGCACGAAACATCTGAGGGGTGTGCGGAATCAGATGCGGGTGCGCCATGCAAACGCAGCCGCTGGGGCAGCCGGTGGAGCTCCCTATGAGACCACGAAGCGTGTGAGGGGTGCGTCGAATCGGGGTCGGGTACACCATGCGATCGCAGCCACTGGGGCCTTCGGTGGACTTCCTGATGGCGCAACGAATCGTGTGAGGGGTGTGCCGAACTGAGTCCGGGTGCGCCACGCGAGCGTAGTCAATGGGGCCTTCGGTGGAGCTCCCTTTGGGGCCACGATGCGCGTGAGGAGCGTGCCGAATTGGGAACGCGAGCGCTGCCACTGGAGCCTTAGGTGGAGCTCTATGGGGCCCCGAAGCGTGTGAGGGGTGTGCCGGATCGGGGGCGGGGGCGCCATGAGATTGCAACATGTCGGTGATTTCGGTTGAGCTCCCTCTGGGGCCACGAAGCGCGTGAGGGGTGTGCCGAGTCGGGCACGGGTACGCCATGCGAGCGTTTGCATTTGGGCCTTAGTTAGGGCGTCCTATGGGGCCACGAAGCGTTCAAGGCGTGTGCCGGATCAAGTGCGGTGCCGCCATGCGAACGCTGGCGTTTGGGCTTTAGTTGGGGCTCCCTACGGGGCCACGAGACAGGTGAGGGGTGTGCCGAATCGGGCGCGGGTACGCCACGCCAGCGCAGCCACCAGGGCTGTCGGTGGTTCCCCCCCGGGGCCACGAAGCGCGTGAGATGTGTGCCGATTCGGGCGCGTGTGCGCCATGCGAGTGCAGCCACTGGGGCCTTGTCGGGCGCGGGCACGCCATGCGAATGCTTGAATTTGGGCCTTGGCTGGGGCTCCCTATGGCGTGCAGAGTGGCCAGCTAGTTTTGCGCGACCGCCCGACTCGCCGACTCGCATTGAAGTGCCCGCGCGTCAGCGCGGCCTCCGAAACGCGCTGGGCAGTCCCCAGCGGTCAGCGCCACGGCGGCCGCGTCGGTCCCACCAGACTAGTTGGCCGCTCCGCGCGCGAGCCTGCGCGCGCTAGCGCGGCCGCGGCGATGCGCCAGTCAGCGCCAAGCAGTCATCGCAATCGCCGCCGCATGGGTTTTGCAATCAAGTTGCGGATGGGTTGGACGGGCCCATTGCACCAGCGGCGGAGTTCACATTTCACTGCGGAGAGGGAGGGGGAGAGAGGGAAGGCTCTGGCGACTGGCGTGATAGCCGGCGTGGAAGTTGGAAAGATAGAAGGGAAACCGGGAAAGAGATAGGGGCATCTGGCAAGATAGAAAGAACAACTTGAGAAAGTTGGGGGAAGCTGGCGGAGATAAAAGCGGGAAATAAAACAAGATAGGGATAGTGAGGGGGAGAGGAGGAAGAGAGGAAGAGAGAGGGCGACGACGCCGAAGACGACGACGACGACAACGGCGACGACGACGACGATGACGACGACGACGACGACGACGACGACGACGACGGCGGCGGCGGCGGCGACGACGACGGCGGCGACGGCGCCACGCCCCAGGACCTGAGCGAGAGCGAGATCACGAGGAGCAGGCACGGGAGCGCGGAAGCGCACTCAGGGTGTCCAGCAGTAGTTCTTCGAATTGTAGAAGAATGAATCGACGGCGGGCGAAGCGCACAGTACGGTGGGGACGTTGGATAGTGCAGGTCCTGTCGAGGGCGAGACGATACAGCGCATTCCTGCCGTTGTCGAAGCGCGGTGGGTGGCCCAGGACAAGCCGCCCATCGGCCGCGAGGCCGTGGGTTCCTTATCCAAGGTGTTCTTATTTGATCGGAGGTGGACAGAACCCCCAACAGTGACACGTCGATTAGTGGATTGTCCGTTTTCGGTCCTCGAGAGGGCGCCGTGGCCGCTATTTTCCAGGCTTGCGCCCGCCAGGTTTGGGCCCCAGGTCGTTTTCACTGAACCACGTTTGACTAAAGGGGGGTCTGTCCATCCCCGAATGAAGGTTCAACAGGGGTTAGGGAAGCTTCCGGGTCTCTTGTGAGTCAACTCGGAGGAAGTATCGAGCGGGAGCGTCGTTGTTTGCAGGGGTCCTGAAGCGGAAGCGCCGGTCCTGGGGTGAAAAGCAGGGAAGTATCGAGCGGGAGCGCCGACGTCGTTGGAAAGTCGGCTTTGGGGCTCGAGCAAGAGCCCAAAAGAGGAAATATCGAACCAGAGCGTTGTTGTCGTTGGGGGGCCAGTTTGGGCGCATTCCCGAAACGCCTGAGCGTGAGCTTGGTTTCCCAAGGAAATGCAGCAGGCGCCTAGGCGGGAGCGCGAAAGCGCATTCGGGGTGTCCAACGATAATACTCGTTGAGTAATTCAGGCTCAACAACAACAATGATGACGTAGCGACCGCTCTGCCGGCCCTGGCCCGGGGCCAGCAAAAGGGAGGGCGCGCCCCCAAGAGGGTCTGCTGCGAACGGTGCGGCCAGGTGGCGCAACGGAGTCGCAACGGTTTCTCCTTGTCCTTGGAACCATGGATCCGCATGGCCCTGACCAAGCAGGTGCATCGTTTGGTGGAAGACGGGCTCCTGGACGACCTCGAGGGCCTGCACTGTGAGAAATGCAGCCAGGGCGCTGTCGAGGCTTGGCGGGGCGTTGATGTGGCCCGCGCCTTGGACGTGGGAGAGAAGTGCGCGCGCCGTTACATGGACTTTGCACGAGACATCATGCGCGAGGCTGCCTTGGGAAAAGCCAGAGTCCGTGTGCTTCGGACACTGGGTCGATGGGTGGACGACCCTGGTTGAAGCCTACACGTAAGAGTGACCCTTCGCCAGAGGGACCTTTGGTGCTGGCCCAAAATGGGTCGGGTGGTTTTTCCTGTGGCATGAGCTCGACCTCGCGTCGGCACCCGCATTGCGCGATTACGCTGGCATCTGAGCGCCAACGCATACGCGTCGCTTGCATTGGTTACCCGGGGGGAGCCAGTCGACCAGACGGCGCGTTTTCAGGCCAAGGACCGGCAGGACCGGTCCCGAATTTCAGCCCACATGCGAAAACGTTTGGCTTTAATATCTTTGGATATGTTTGAATATCTTTGAATATGTTTTTCGAACCAATGGGGATCTGTACTATTGTAAGTTATCCAAAAATCTTCAAACATATACCAGGCTCTCGGATGGGGCCGGTTTTGGCCATGACGCCGGGTTTGGTCAAACGTCATCGCGATGCAGCCCGGCAGTGCCAGACTTCCTCGCGGTGGCCTCCGGCAGCGTTTGCTTTCGCAGTGCCATCGAAGTGCCATTCGGGGCGCTCGCATTCAATCGGCGGACTTCCGCCGTTGCCCGCCGGCGCAAAAGTCTTTCGGGTGGCGCCCCGCCGATCGTTGATGCGGCGCGGCAACGCCGGCTTGCGCGATTGCGCTGGGCCCCCACGGGCGCCCCTGAAACCGCGCAACAAAGGTCATTGTAGCCCAGGGTCACTCCGACGCGTAGTTGAGAAGCGCATGAAACCGCCAGGGCCCGCTATTGTGTCGAGGAAGGCGGCAAACGCGTCTATAACTGGTGTGTCGCGTCGGCGTCATGGCCCAAGGCTCCGCTGGGCCGCGCCGCCTGTGAAATGCAGTGGGCGGCAGGCTTCCTGACAGCGGCTACAATGCGGACTACTACTACTACTACTACTACTACTACTACTACTACTACTACTACTACTACTACTACTACTACTACTACTACTACTACTACTACTACTACTACTACTACTACGACTACTACTACTACTACTACTACTACTACTACTACTACTACTACTACTACTACTACTACTACTACTACTACTACTACTACTACTACTACTACTACTACTACTACTACTACTACTACTACTACTACTACTACTACTACTACTACTACTACTACTACTACTACTACTACTACTACTACTACTACTACTACTACTACTACTACTACTACTACTACTACTAGTACTACTTCTACTTCTACTACTACTACTACTACTACTACTGCTACTACTACTCCTACTACTACTACTACTACTGCTACTACTACTACTACTACTACTACTCGTACTACTGCTACTACTACTACTACTACTACTACTACTACTACTACTACTACTACTACTACTACTACTCCTACTTCTACGACTACTACTACTACTACTACTACTACTACCACAACTACAACTGCTACTGCTACTACTGCTACTAACTACTACACAACTAACTACTGCTGCTACTAACCCCAGCTACTAAACCTGCTAGTACTACTACTACTACGACTTACTAACCACGACTTACTACGAATACCATTACTACTACCAACGACTACTAACTACTACTACACTACACTATTACTACTACTGACTACTACAACTACCACTACTACCACTCCTCCCTACAACTACTATTACTACTACAACTACTGACTACTACAAAACTACTACTACTACACTAACCTACTACTACTACTACTACCACAACTACTACCACAACTACTACTACTACTACAACTACTATCCCGACGACGACGACTACTACTACTACTACTACTATTACCGCTACTACTAATAATACTACAACTACTACTACTACGAAAACTACGGCTACTACTACTATTATTACTACTACTACTACTACTACCGCGACTATTATTACTACTACCAATGCTGCGACTACCACTCGTATTACCACCGCTACTACTACTACTACTACTACTACTACTACTACTACTGCTACTACTACTACTACCACTACTACTACTACTACTACTACTACTACTACTACTACTACTACTACAATTTCGACTACTATTATTACTACTAGTACTATTACTACTACCACTACTATTGTTACGATTACTGCCATTACTACTTCTGGCACTGCTATTGCTACTATCCTTACTACCGCTAGTAGTAGTAGTAGTAGTACTACTACTACTACGACTGCTACTACTACTTCTACAACTCTGACTACGACTACGACTACTACTACTACTACTACTACTACTACTACCTCTACTACTACCTCTATTATTACTACTACTACTACTACTACTACTACTTATCGTACTACCACTACTAGCACTGCTACTACTACGACGACTACTGCTTCTGCTACATCTACTACTACTACTACTATTACTACTACTACTACTACTACTACTACTACTACTACTATTACTACGACTACTACTACTACTACTACTACTACTACTACCACTGCTACTACTGCTACTACCTGCGCCACTGCTACTACTGCTACTACTACTATTATCTACTACCGCTACTACTACAGCTACTATTACTAGTATTCGTGCTAGTGCTACCACGACGACGACGACGACGACGACGACGACGACTACTACTACTACGACTACTACTACCTACTACTACTACTTTTTCTTTTACGTTCATTTCTTTGTTTAATTTCACTCTTACGTTCACTTCTCACTGTTACGTTTACTGGTTCTGCTACTACTACTCCCGTTACTACTACTACGGCTACTACT